AACACTGTTCTATAGTGCCTAACTATATAACCTTACCATCTTTCTCCTCCAGAAACTTGTCTCCTTCAAATTAAGAATGATATACTATGGAGAGAACTAGGTAACTATCAAATCATCCTAAATACCCAACAAATTGTCCTGAAGACTGACAGAACAGATTCCACAACTGAAAGGAGAAAAGAGTCCACGTCTAAGAAGATTCTTACAGCTGAGACTTGCAGTACTAGGTGGAATCAAAGCAGGGCGAGTGGACTTCCTTGTCTTGTTCCTGATCTTTGTTAGGGCTAAAGCATTAAATCTTCCACCACTGAGTATTGATGTTACTTTTGAGTGTTTTATATTTACATGGCCTTCATTTGTTGAAGTATATCCTCTCATACCCACTCTGTTGAGAGTTTTTATCATAAAATCAGATGTTTGATTTTTTCAATAGTTTATTCTGAACATTAAAATGATCTTATGATTTTTATCCTTCAATTTGTTAATGTGTGGCATCATGCTGACTGAGAATATTGAGCCACTACTGGATCCCCAGAATAAGTCCCTGAAACTAGTATAATAACGTATGCCAACTATCCTGGAATTAAAATAAAAAATAAAAGAAAAAAGAAAAATCCCCACCCCCACTCCCAAAGAAAGAAGTACTACACTAAGTATTTTGTGCATTACAACATATGCAGGTTGCTAAAGCTTGCTAGATTTTGGAAGAGAAGTATCTTTAATAAAAAGACCTAATATTCTTCAGGTTCCCAAGGATCCTAAACATAAGACAGATTACAAGCTGTGGAGAGGAAATTTTCTGCCTAGGCAAAGGTTCTGTGTCACTCTGGGTGAGGCTTGTACCCGGTGAATGCTGCTTCCCACATTCTCAAATCACTAGCCAAGTCGGTATTTAAATGTGGCAACCTATTTTGAATGGGTATTCCCGCATATCATTTTTTTAGCTTGGGTTTCAGTTTCCACATTTCCACATAGGAAAGAATCCCTAAGATCTCACAAATTCTTTTTTTAAGATTTTATTTATTTATTTATTCATGAAAGACTGAAAGAGAGAAAGGGGCAAAGACACAGGAAGAGGGAGAAACAGGCTCCATGCAGGGAGCCCGACGGGACTCGATTCCAGGTCTTCAGGATCAGGCCCTCGGCTGAAGGCAGCGCTAAACTGCTGAGCCACCAGGGATGCTCAGGTCTCACAAATTCTATTTTATAGGTGATAGAGAAAAATCAAAGGCAGAGTTGGAAAATAAGCATCAGATTATAAGCAGTCTTTGCTAACTACCACAGAAGGTTGGCAGGCCCAGTTATACGACTTTAACAAATAACTGAAAAGTTAGGGAGAGGTTAAGTATTCACCAAGATTAAAAATGATTGTCCAGCAATCTCGGATGTGCACAGATCCAGTGATTTTATATTTCAGTTGATGTTTGTGAAGTATTTTATTCATCATACACTTTCCGGTCTCCTTCCCAGACCACTGTCAAATAACACATTTTTAAAGCACACGTAGTTAAAGTTGTAGAAAATAACTCTGGCTGAGCAACCTTACATAAAACTACAGACATAGCATGTTTTAGAGTGTGTAATTACTAACGGAGGAGAAAAGAAAACTAGGAATATACAAGGAATGATCATGAGTTTCTGTGAACTCTGCAATGTCTTGTTTCTGCTTTAATAGAACTCAAGTTAATGTTTCCAGTAGAAAAGTAATGTACATGATGGCAAACACTAAACATTACTTTTCAAGTCTAGAGTAACAACCACCATCAACTTCTTTGTCAAAAAATATTATCACCCCGCTTTGAAGTTGGTAATCTATTCAGATCAGTTCTTTATCCAGCAGTATTTTATCTAAAATTAAAAACAACTTAAATATATCAAGACTAAAACCCAAATTATGGGAATGAATACATTTTAATTACTGCCTCAATAACTAGGGAGAGTAAATCAGAAAAATATGTTATTCTTTCAATCACACTTAAAATTATATTTTAATAAAGGTCAGAATTCTCACACAAAAAAGTAAATGCTTATTATCCTTACTATTTTTTCATTGCAAATGTTTACACTGTATTACACAGTATATGGTGATTTACTGATTCTGCCAACAGTACAAGATCTTTAAAAAACCACAGATGTTTACCTGCCCGTGAAAGACAAATTCCCTCTATGACTGTGAGTGAAGGTTCCCCAACTATATACACACAATGGAAAAAGTCCTCACTCATGAATATACTATTATTTTTCAAGGCCCTTAAGTCCATCTCAAATTGATAATTTTGGGAATAGCTTGTTTAAAAATAAAAACTGATCATTCATTAAAAAACGTACCTACAAACAAAACAAAACAAAACAACATACCTACAAGTGACAGAACAGTGCACGTTCAAGCAAAGGCCGTAAAACTTAGAAAGCAAATTCATGTGTCATCGCTAACAGCCAGATCACAGACAAACAATGAGTATCCCATGCTGCTCCTCAAGCACTCTGAAGGAATTCAGTTTCCAATCCCATTCCCAGTAATACAGAACTCAGACTCAACCTTCCTGCATCAACAGATCTCCTTTTCTGCGCAGGGAAGTTAAGAAATCATGCCAGCTGCACAGCTGACGTGGAAACACAAGTAGCTATCTCTGTGCTGGAGACACCACAGAATGAATTATCTACTTCCCTAATGGGTATCCACATGTCATCAATAATGAAAAAGGGTGTATTAATAGTCCTTTGGGACAAATGAACAACAATGGCCTATGAAAATGTTGGAGAGTAACTGAATAGTTGAGATAGCTTTTTACACTGGGATTTAAACCTGCTGAGCAGATATCTCAAACACACCAGACAGCCACACAAATAGCATTTTCCTGCTGCCCCCTTTACTTGAAGCATGGAAAGCTTGGCAAATACAGCCAACTCTGAGAGAACAAAGATGACAGATCACTGTCACTATGGAAGCCAATCACAATTTGTCCTGAGGTTATAAATATCTGTAAGAAAGAAAATTATTTAAAAAGATTCACAAAAGCTAAAAATGCAAATGTTAGAATTAAAACTGATAATGAAATTCAGACAAAGTCTCCAACTTATGGAGGGGTACTGTTCTAGATACTTTACTCAAAACTAGATGGATGAAACTTAAAAATCATTTTTCTTATAAAACCAACGTTACAGAAATAAAATTCTCAGGCTAACTCATTAATGTATATAGTTCACTTTGGGAAAATACTACAGCTTTGCAACTTCAGAAGGTACTGCTGTAGGAGTCAGGACCTACAAGAAATAGTAACAAAATATGTAATAACTCATTATGAAGTGTATCCTTTGAGGGGAAAAACATCTCAACTAGAAAAATTAGAAAAACTGGATCCCTTTTCTTCGGCCCAAACCTAAGAAGGGTTATCTAAGGGTCTCAGGCATTCCTGAATGAGATTAAGCAAGAATTAGAAAGATTTTAGAATCTGAGTTATAACTGAGTTCTAAATCAGTGAAAAACAGAAATAGGCTCCCCTGAAATGAGCAGCAAGAGAGGGGAGATCACAGGAAAACGTGAGGCCTGGCAGCCTCCTGAACCTATCACCAAGTTCTCACTTAGCTGCTGAAGCCTGTCACTCAGAGGGCAAGGGCCAGGTGTGCCCGAGAAGGCAGGTGGGGCTCCCGGGTCTGGACGCACAGATGGTCCTGAGCTGGCTTGTACGCGTCATTCCAAATCACCTACCAAAGGGAGGCAGTGTGATGCAGCGGAAAGAGACCTGTTTTCCGGCTTGGTCTGTAATTACCTGGGTGACTTCTGCCAACTCACTTAGCTTCTCTAACTATAGGTTTCCTCCGAGGTAAACGGGAGGTGAAAAACTGCTGGGATCCAGCGTGGTACATAGTGTGTTAGTGCAGCTACTTCCCTAAGACCACATTCAAGGCGTTTATTACCCACCCACAGCGGGTAAGGGAAAGTAAGTACAACTAGAACTTCTGCTAGACTTGGGTTGAATAAGACAAGACTCACTGGAGAATACCTGAGTATGTGCACACAGGAAATAAACTGGGCAATGCCTTATTTTTCCTGTGAAAACCCAGCTTCCTCAGGAAGCCTTCGAGGGACCTCTGCTCCCTACTAGCGACCGTTGCACATTCTGTAGTTAGTACACATTTACGTGGTGCCGCCTACTACCACAGGATAACGAACTGATCTGCTTCACATAGACTGGGACTTCCTCGACGACGAGGGCTTCATCTCTTCGGTTCTGTATTTCCAGTACACAGCGCCTGGCACATAGTAGGTCCATGCACAGGGACTGAATGGAGCAATGGAGCAGTCTGCTTTGGGGTAGGGTAGTGAGATGACATCACATGGGTAACGGCCAACGGCTACTTACTGAAATAACACTGAACTATTTAGCAAAAGACGTGATTAATCTAAGCCCGCACACAGCCAAGTACCGACCCGCGCCAGAGAGACCGGGAGGGGATCACCCAACGTCAAACAGCAGCACGCGAAGCCCCTGTACCTACTCGGTCACCACCTAGCAGACCCATGTGAAACGGCTGTGGAACAACAAGTATGGGGTTTTGGTCATGACACCCCAGGCAGTAAGGCCAATGATGCATTTTGCAGGAAGCGAATTCTGCGGACAGACACCCCGGCGGGACCGGCCGCGGCCATGCGGGCGGGGTGCGGTCGCGCCGTTCCCTGGACACCCCAAACTTCCCGCCCGGGAACCCGCAGGTCGAAGGCTGTCGGCGGCAGGTCCCCGCGCCCGAGCCAGGGACGTTCCGGCTCGCTGTCCCTCGGGGCGCGGGGGGGCGCGGGGGGGCGCGGTGGCCTCCCGGTACTGGTCCGCGCGCGCTCCTGGGAACGCGGCGGACCAGGTCCCGACCCCCGCACGGCAGCCCGGGGCCCCGCGCCCAGCTCGCGGCAGACCCCGCCGGCCGCCCTCCCACCCCCGCCGGGAGCGCTCCCGGCCGCCGCCGCCGCCACCGCCGCCGCCGCCGCCGCCGCGCACCGCACTTACTTAGACCCGCTCGCAGGCTGCGCACTCGGCCGCGGACACGGAAGCCGGCGCCGCGCAGCAGCGTCCCCCCGCGCCGCTTCCGTCGCTCCTCATCGTCCTCCGCCAGCCGAGGGGCCGCCGCCGTCGCCACGGTCTAGCCCGGAGCTCTAGCGGCGCGGCTCTCGGCTCCTCCACTTCCGGCCCACGCTCGGTGTCGCCGGCAAATGTCCCCGCCGGCACCCACATCACCTGCTCTCCTCTCAGCCTTCCTCCCCTTAGCGCGAACCGGGCCCGCCCTCCCGGGCGTGCGCACGAGCGACGGTCGCGGGGAGTCCCCGCGACGGTGGCCCGCGAGGACAAGATACCTTGGAGCCTGGACCCCGGCCCAGTGGAGCTCGCAGCGCGCTACCCGCGGCTTCTGCGCCAGGGGGCCTCTGGAGGCCTTCCGACACTGCTCCGGGGGCCCCCAGGGTGAGTGAGTGTAAAGCTCCAGATTTCCCTTCGGGACACAGTTCTAAGTGTGCACACAAACAAATATTGATTACATAAGAAAGCGTGTCTGCCTAATAGAGTTATGAGCGCATTACCTTACTACTTACTATCTCCTTAAAATGCATGCATAACTCATTTTGTTTCTATTTTCTCCCAACCCAGCCCGCTCCGACCTCTATCAGAGGCCTGAACCCCGGGGAGATTTAGACGGGCTTTCAAAGGAAAAGAATGCAAAATAATCTTATTTCTGCAAATTTTACAAAAGCACCGGCCCAGGGGAACACTGCTAGAGCCCAGGGCGTGGGAAGTGGCCACACAAATGAGCCCTTGAAGCTAATATTTCATTAGATTCACTGTCTTTAAAAAAAAAAAAAAGAAAAATTAAGAGATTTTATTTATTTTGAGAGAGAACACAAGTTGGGAGAGGGGCAGAGAGAAAGAGGGAATCTCAGGCAGACTCCCTGCAGAAGGTGGAGCCCAACAGCGGCCTCCATCACACCACCCTGAGATCATGACCTGAGCTGAAATCAAGAGTCGGAGGAGGCTTTACCTACTGAGACATCCAGGTGCCTCTCATTAGCTCCACTGTCAACCCACCTGGGCACCAAGTTGTACTAAATTGTTTTTCTACAGATGTTTGTCCCCCTCCCTCAGCCATTCTCTATTCTCTGTACCTTATTTTATATAGAGAGAGAATATTTCATATTAAAAACAAACAGGGGATCCCTGGGTGGCGCAGCGGTTTGGCGCCTGCCTTTGGCCCAGGGCGCGGCGATCCTGGAGACTCGGGATCGAATCCCACGTCAGGCTCCCGGTGCATGGAGCCTGCTTCTCCCTCTGCCTATGTCTCTGCCAATCTCTCTCTCTCTCTCTCTCTCTCTCTCTATCAAAAAAAAAAAAAAGATTTAAAAACAAACAACGACAAATAGACACGTATCTTGCCATCAGTCAGAGCGCTCCAGGTCAAACCCAGGCTCTTGAGGATAGCTTCCTGTGTCACCTAATAAATGCCAGGCACAAGGGTAGACTACTTACATAAAGTAATAATCAAAGCAACTCTAGAAAATACGTAATGAGAAACCCTTGATTATCTTTGAACCAACCGTTAGAAAAGCCAAAATATCATGGTAAATTGGAGACTAAAGTTTGAATCAATTTGGAGTTTGGCTTCATAATCCATGGTTCTTCTCTTAGATCAGCAACATAAAGTGCAAACTCTGATACTGTAGGGAGCTCAGTAGATGCTGAACAAGGTGCAAATGTGCACAGACAAATGTCCTTTCATAAGATGGGCAACTATGGGATGTCCTCCACCAAAACTGTTGGGTGCTGCTCCAAAATAAATTAAATAGTAGGTAGAGAAATTACCATCACCAGAGTATCCTGTGACTTTAAAACTTCATAGCTGATTTCAGAGACATTTTTGGATAACTTAGGTGAATTAGACATACTAGGAAATGGTTGTTGGACTCGAAGGAGCCCTAAGTCTAGCTCTACTACAAACTAATACTGTGAATTAAATAAGTGTCAGTTTTGCAAAATGCGATTTTTGCACACTAAGGACCCCTAAGGGCACTTAACAGCTTCAAAATGTTCTCAGAATCCATTGCAGCAAAATATCACTTTCTTATAATACCACATCTTAGAGCAACAATATCTTATGCTGAGGAAACAATTCCAAAAGTTGTTTCCCCCCATTGTCATGGATAATTTCTCAATTCTCCATGAAAGAGGACAGGCCATAACAAAACGTTGGTAGAAATCAACAGCTCCTGGGACTTAAGGACTGAGTTTGTTTTCATCTCAATCTTGAATACTTAGCACAATTACTGCGTTGGTGCTGAATAAAGGTTTGCCAAACGATTTTATTTTTAATCCTGGAACGGACGCTAAGAGTCCATAGTTGATTTCTGGGCATGCAACTCTTTATGTCCGTATTAAAAATTATGCATTACGTATTTTTTATGAATCATGTATTATTTCTGCATGAAGAGCCAAGAACTCACATCAAAGTTGTAACACCGTGAGAAACAAGTAGGAAAGGACAGCCTTGGGCAATTTTGCAAATGCCTGTTTTTCCATTTGAATGAAACAGCAGACGTTTTGGGAGGGGAGATGCCCCTTTCAATCCTGGGCACCCTCACGACCAGGCAGCGAGACGAGCGTCGGCGCCCCTGTTCACAGACGGGGCCCGGCACACCCAGGCGCCGTCATTGCTACGGAGTACGCCACGCGGACCGAGGACTGGGCTCACGGCCCAAGTAAGGAGCCAGTACGCAAAGTGCGCTCGATCCTCGCTCAGAGACGAGATCCACCCTCATCGGTCAACCACTTGCGACGGGCACCGCTGCTTCGGGAGGCTAACAGGAGTCGCGCTGGCAGCTACCGGCGTCCTCCGCAGCCTGGCACGGAGCGCCCCGGCCTAGCCGGAGCGTCCCCGCGCGTGCGCGCAGCACCCCCGTGACGTCACGGCCCGCGCTGCGGCTGCGCCGGCGCCGGATTTGAGGAGTCGGGCGTCTCCCGGCCTCAGCGGCGAGTGCGTCTGCGCTCGGAGCAGCTGGCGGAACCGGCTCCCGGTGCTGCGGCTTCCGGTCTGGTGACCTCACCTGCGGCTCGGCTGGCGGTAGGACGTTTGCGCGGCGGCGCGGCCCGGGGGGCGGCGGGGGGGGAGGGGGGAGAGTGCCGCGGGCACGTCGGGGCAGGCGGGCGCCGGGACTGGCTGACGAGCGGAAGGGGGCCCGCCCCGAGTCTTCTCAGCCCGGCACAGGCGTGTGGGCTTGAAAGTTCGTTTTTCTTGTTTCGGGACAAAAAGTGTGGCAGTCCCTCCGCCCCTCCGGGCGTCACAGGTGCAGGGCCCGGGCCACCTCGGCGACCGCGCTGCGTTAGAAGGCGGGCCTTGGGCTCGGGGCCCTTGATCTGGACCCCCATCCCCGGGACGCGGGGGCAGGGGACGGACGGGAGTTCGCCCGCGTCTCCCCCCGGGCCCGTGCCGGCCGCGGTGTTGCAGTGGTTGTGGACGTTCTGATTCCGGGGACCCCCCTTCCCCAAGCCGGTGGGGACCCTCGGGCTCGGAAAGGTAACGGGATGCGCGCCCGCGGTCCGCGGCCGGCTTCCTTAGAGGGGGGGCGGAGGAGGGGTGTGCCCCCCCATCCCCCGTGGTTCCGCAGGCGGGCACCCCTGCCTGGAGCCGGACGGAGAGGCTGGAGCCTTGCTGCTCTTCTCACATCTCGTCTTTTGTCGTCCTTTCGGCTCCCGCCGCCTTCTGGCCTTTTCCTGGCCCAGATTCCTTTCTGCTGAGACTCCCCCCCCCCCCCCCCGAATGTCACAAGTGCTTGGAAGGGAGGCTGCTGTAAACCTTTGTCCCCTAGGGAAGAGCATCGTCTGCCCAGGGGCTGTGTGAAGGACACTTAACTTGCACCAGTCGCTTTCTCTCCTGTAAAATCACACTGAGTCATCACAGTCACGGAATACAACCTTGCTAGTATGTTTTGTTGTGTCACTTTAGGACAAGACAGGCAGCCGCTGAGTAGACGATGAGTCATTCTTGTATACGAATTGTACTCATTCTCTTGAATGTTTTGCTCATGTTTATTAAAAGGTAAGCGTATCCCTCCCTTTCTTCCTTAATATTTTGTGACATTTACATTTTAAATGTCACTTGCATCAACAAGCATTATGGAACTAAACTTAAGGATTCGCTGACTGCCAAGTACTGTGTTAAGCACCTTGTGTACATACCGGATGTCATCCTCACCTCACCTTCTACAGTCATTACCCCCGTTTTACACTACAGAAACTGACAAAGACATTATGTGGCTGCCCCATGTCACGCAGCTATTAAGTTGTTGAGTTCACAGTTGAACTCACATTTAGTGGTCTCTAGAGCCTGAACCCTAACCACAAACGGTTTTTTGTTTTTTTTTTTTTTTTTCACAAATCAAAGACATCAGCTAGCAACCTCAGAATCCAGAAAATAAAATGAGAATGTTTAAAAGCAGTGGAAATTCTAATGTTTGACTTTTTTGTACAATTTTCTTTTTTCTTTTTTTTTTTTTTTTGGTACAATTTTAATGAGTAAAAACATTTAAGCCTACTCATACTAATTTTGGAACCCTTGTTGTATTTAGAGCAATTTTGGGATACATGTTTAACCTAGATTTCAATGTGGTTATAAAGTAATTTGAGTCTTTGGAGATTGTTGAGAGAAACCAAGACCAAGTAGAACATTCAGATATTTAGAAACTATATACCCATCTTGAATGCTCAGAAAAGTATTTCTTAACATTCTTCATATTATATCTATATATAATATATGAATTATAAATACAAGATTATATACTGGCTTGAGGGAGCCTGTTTTGAGAGGTAGACAGTGAACATACATAACCAGGTGGTTCAGTCAGTTATGCAGATGAGAAGAGAGAGGGAGCAGTTACTGATTCAAAGATAAAAGTCTCAGGAAAATGGTGTCTCATGGGTTTACCTCTTGGTCTAACTGACTCCATAGAAGTTGAATTTCCTTTGTCAGGCATTAGACTGGGAAGTGTGGCCTTTCTGCCAAAAGGCCACCAAATGGGTGTTGAGAAACTTACCCAGTGCAGTCACAGCTGCTAAATGTTTTTGACCAAACTGAATCCTAACCGGCATATGTGGGGGGTTTGCGGGGGTATGACCAGCTGCTGGCCTTTCCTAATGTGATCTTCCAGGGACCCAACTCTAGGGGCTCAGTAATCCATTCCACAAACAGACCTACCAAGTGCCAGGCGCTACGGACACAGATCACCCCTCCTGAGTTTCTGGAGACTGTAGTAAAAGTGGTCCCATATCCAGCCATTGGATCTCTTGTGCCAGATATCAGACAATGCAGCGGTGTGCCGGCAGTGTGTGTGCCTTCTTGTCTGCTGCTGCAGGGACTCTAGTGGTCTCCAGAGATGACAATAGACCTCCTTCCTCCCTGTAAGGCTGCTCTGACTCCCTGCTCTCTAGGCAACATGGGGATGTGCCAGGAGGTGTCTGAAACCACAAGACAGAATGTAGTTTATATTCTTAGGATGCACATTTTTACTTGAAGTCCTTATCGGGAGAGTGAATTGATTTTAATGTTACTTAGTTTAAATATAATAGCTCTGATATCATATAGATTTTAATAGAATTTGCTGGGATGCCTAGGTGGCTCAGTTAAGCATCAGACTCCTGATTTCAGCTCAGATCATGATCTCAGGGTGTGAGGTTGAGCCCCGTGTCATTCTCTGCACTGGGCATGGAACCTTCTTAAGATTCTCTCTCTCCCGCTCTCTCTGCCCCTCCCCACCTCTTAAAAAAAAAAGAAAAGAATTTGCATGAATATTTAAAATTTCAAAGAAATTTGACACTTCTGGTGACCACTTTAGGAAATAGTCTAGACCCTAACCCAGCAAGGTACCTGTTATTTCCTCTCTGACTTTAGACAATGCTTCAGTGAAAAACTGTCTCGTGACATTTTACTTTTGTTAAAACATTTAGCATTTTATAATTACTTCCCGCTATATCCCCTTTTTCTTTAACAGTATGTATGCTGTATTAAGGCAGAAGCATACTATTTGCCTATAGTATGTTTCTCTGGTGCATATGTAGCTGGTGAATTGTTGGAGGGTAAATGGCATGTGAATATGAACAAAAAACTGTACTAATGAATTTGAATTTATAAAGCTATTTAAATTACTATGATAAAATAGAGCTAAAAGAAGTACATTACGTAAGGATTTCATGGAGAAGGTTTTTTAAGTTGGGTTTTGAATACTGGAGTGATTTGGCATAGCTAGTAGTGAAATGAAAGTAAACACAGACATAGGCTTTGTTTGGCTAAAAGAAGATTTTTTTTTTTTCTTCCTGCAAAGCCAAGTTTCAATTCAGTGATTTGTTAAAAACATCTATTTCTGATGTTGTGTGGTAGTCTGACAGGAGAAGAGGAGAAATGTAAGGAAAGGCCTTCCCTCAGAAACCCAGAAACGAAATTAATTGAGCCTTGTTTTTCTGTTATTGTTATTCTTTTGCATTATGTGCTAAGTAAGGAATGGAATCATTAATTCACTGAAAGTTGGATTTAGGGAGAAAAACAAAGTGGTCCATCTCAGTATTGTAAATGTAGGGAAAGGGGCTGGTGAGACTTTCGTTAATAAATACTAAATAAGATTGAAGTAAAATAGTTGATTTTTCACTAAATGTAGAGATTGAGAAGAGATATAATTTATAGAATTAATTCATTTTCATGTAGCAAACATTGATAAACATTTATTACAAACGAGGCACTCTCTGTAAGGTCTTTACATTAAATATTTAGTTGAATTTTATCTTTTATTTAAAGCTATTCTCTTTTTGCCTTATTAGTTAAACCAGAGGATTCACCATCACTTCTATGGCTGCCACACAGACTTCACAAACTGTTGCATCTCACGTTCCTTTTGCAGATTTGTGTTCAACTTTAGAACGAATACAGAGAAGTAAAGGACGTGAAGAAAAAACCAGACACTTCAGAGAATTTTTAGATTCTTGGAGAAGATTTCATGATGCCCTTCATAAGAACCAAAAAGATGTCAGAGACTCTTTTTATCCAGCAATGAGACTTATTCTTCCTCAGCTAGAAAGAGAGAGAATGGCCTATGGAATCAAAGAAACTATGCTTGCTAAACTTTATATCGAATTGCTTAATTTACCTAAAGAAGGAAAAGACGCCCTTAAACTTTTAAATTACAGAACACCCACTGGAACTCGTGGAGATGCTGGGGACTTTGCAACAATTGCGTATTTTGTGTTGAAACCAAGATGTTTGCAGAAAGGAAGTTTAACCATACAGCAAGTAAATGACATTTTAGACTCAATTGCCAGCAATAATTCTGCCAGAAAAAAGGACCTAATAAAGAAAAGTCTTCTTCAGCTAATAACTCAGAGTTCGGCACTGGAACAAAAGTGGCTTATACGGATGATTGTAAAGGACTTAAAACTTGGTTTTAGTGAGCAATCTGTATTCTCTGCTTTCCATAATGATGCTGCAGAGTTGCATAATGTCACTACAGATCTGGAAAAAGTCTGTAGGCAACTGCATGATCCTTCCATAGGACTCAGTGATATTTCTATCACTTTATTCTCTGCCTTTAAACCTATGCTGGCTGCTATAGCAGATATTGAGCGAATAGAGAAGGACATGAAACACCAGAGTTTCTACATTGAAACCAAGCTAGATGGTGAGCGTATGCAAATGCACAAAGACGGGGATGTGTATCAGTATTTCTCCCGAAATGGATTTAACTATACGGATCAGTTCGGCGATTCTCCACGGGAAGGTTCTCTTACACCGTTCATTCACAGTGCATTCAAAACAGATGTACAGATCTGTATCCTGGATGGTGAGATGATGGCCTTCAACCCTAATACACAAACTTTTATGCAAAAGGGGAATAAGTTTGATATCAAAAGAATGGTGGAGGATTCTGATCTGCAGACCTGTTATTGTGTTTTTGATGTACTGATGGTTAATAATAAAAAGCTGGGACGTGAAACCCTGAAAAAGAGGTATGAAATTCTTACTAGTGTTTTTACGCCAATACCAGGTAGAATAGAAATAGTGCAAAAAGCACAGGCTCATACTAAGAAAGAAGTAATCGATGCTTTGAATGAAGCAATAGATAAAAGAGAAGAGGGAATCATGATAAAACATCCTCTATCTATTTACAAGCCAGACAAAAGAGGTGAAGGATGGTTAAAAATTAAGCCTGAGTACGTAGATGGGCTGATGGATGAACTGGACATCTTAATTGTTGGGGGCTATTGGGGCAAAGGTTCACGAGGTGGAATGATGTCTCATTTTTTGTGTGCTGTAGCAGAGAAGCCTCCTCCTGGTGAAAAACCGTCAGTGTTTCATACTCTGTGCCGTGTTGGTTCAGGTTATACTATGAAAGAACTGTATGATCTGGGTTTAAAATTGGCCAAACATTGGAAGCCTTTCCATAAAAAAGCTCTACCAAGCAGCATTTTATGTGGAACAGAGAAGCCAGAAGTATACATTGAGCCTTGTAATTCTGTCATTGTTCAAGTTAAGGCGACAGAGATTGTCTCCAGTGATATGTATAAAACTGGCTGCACATTGCGTTTTCCACGGATTGAAAAGATAAGGGAAGACAAGGAGTGGCATGAATGTACTACTGTGGATGACTTAGAGCAACTTCGAGGGAAAGCATCTGGAAAGCTTGCATCTAAACACCTTGACATAGGTGGTGATGATGAACCACAAGAAAAGAAGCGGAAAGCTGTGCCAAAGATTAAGAAAATTATTGGAATTATCGAGCACTTGAAAGCACCCAACCTTTCTAATATAAATAAGGTTTCTAATATATTTGAAGATGTGGAGTTTTGTGTTATGAGTGGAACAGACAGCCATCCAAAGCCTGACCTGGAGAACAGAATTGCAGAATTTGGTGGTTATATAGTACAAAACCCAGGCCCAGACACGTACTGCGTGATTGCAGGATCGGAGAACATCAGAGTGAAAAACATCATTTCTTCAAATAAACATGATGTTGTCAAGCCTGAGTGGCTGTTAGAGTGTTTTAAGACCAAAAGCTGTGTGCCGTGGCAGCCTCGCTTTATGATTCACATGTGCCCATCGACAAAAGAACATTTTGCCCGTGAATATGATTGTTACGGTGACAGTTATTTTGTTGATATAGATTTGAACCAACTGAAGGAAGTGTTCTCAGGAATTAAAAATTCTAGCAAACAAACTCCAAGAGAAATGGCTTCTCTGATTGCTGATTTAGAATATCGGTATTCCTGGGACCGCTCCCCACTCTGTCTGTTCCGACATTGTATTGTTTATCTGGACTTGTATGCTGTTATTAATGACTTGAGTACCAAAATCGAGGGAACAAGATTAGCAATTACAGCTTTGGAGCTTCGATTTCATGGAGCAAAAGTAGTTTCTTGCTTAGCTCAGGGAGTGTCTCATGTAATCATTGGGGAGGATCATAGTCGTGTTGCAGTTTTAAAATCTTTTCGAAGAACTCTTAAGAGAAAGTTTAAAATCCTGCAACAAGATTGGGTAACTGAGTCAATAGACAAGTGTGAGTTGCAGGAGGAAAATCAATATTTGGTTTAAAGCTAGCTTTTCTAGTGAGGAAAGCCTGTGATCTGGTGGCCACATTGTAACATGTGGTCATAATAAAATATCAAACTATATTTTTATCCCTTAAAATTAAGCTTAAATATATTAGATATAGAAAAACAATAATTTTAACTTTTGAGATAAGACACTGAATGGACCAAAGCCAAGGAAAAAAATTCATTTTAACAGTGTAGTATTTAATGACTTTTAAAACCAAGATGAGGGACACCTGGATGGCTTAGTGGTTGATCATCTGCCTTTGGCTCAGATCCTATCCCAGGGGCCTGGGATCGAGTTCCACATCGCGCTCCCCACAGGGAGCCTGCTTCTCTCTCTGCCTATGTCTCTGCCTCTCTCTCTCTCTGTGTCTCTCATGAATAAATAAATAAAATCTTTTTTAAAAAAAGGTTTTTTTAAATAAATAAAACCAAGATGAAATAAACAGCTTAAAAAAGAGGCATTTATATAATATCCCTACTGAAATCTAGAATTCTGACCCAAATATTAATAAAATACATTCAGAAGCTTTTAGAATCATTAAAAGCATTGATCTAAGTGGATTTTCTGAAGTAAAATTTTAATAGTTTTTATCTAATAAAAGCATTGCAAGAAAAAAGAATTGTTACAATCGGACATATATTATGTCTTTTAAACTGAAGGTGGAAATATAAAATGTGAAATGTAAACAAATTTTTAAAGTTAAGGACAACCTCGGGAATAAAACCTCATTAAAAAAACTTGTTAATGGCATCATTAGGTAAATTAGGAGAAATAAAAGTAGATGAATTTAATTAAAAGAAACTTGCAGTTTTAAAAATACTTGACCCACATTTATTTTTTTTTTCAAAACTAGAGCATGTTTTAAAGAGAATGTTTTTAGGGGAACTGTACACCAGGATAAACAGTATTCACAGAGAGTGGTTTTCCTAGATGTAATCCATTGAGTACATGTCAAAATGGCATATGTCTCGTGACTTCCATTACATAAGGGTAAACTGCTTTGACTATTTAAAATGATTTTTATCCTTAGGTTATTTAAATTCAGTATGTATAATATGTATTACATTTGGATTTATATACCAAATTTTGGAATACAGTCTATTCATTTTGAAAAATATGTTTTCATGACACCTTTGCAATATTTGAAATATGGTACCTGAGGAAATGTTATTATTTATTTGTAAGTAATTTGAAATTTTATCGAAACAGTGGAACAAATGTTATTATATTTCTTAATTTAAATAAAATATTTAATATGCTATTAAAATGTATGATGTATTTATTTTAGAACACTTCATAATAGTTATTTCAATCATAAATATGGTATCAATATAATTTTTTACAGATTCAAATCAGATTCCTATTTGAGGTCCTTTCTATTTCATATTAGAATGAACTTTATTAAAAACTTAAACTTTCAAAGTTTTAGAATACCTATTGAGAAAAACTACAAAATAGACACCAGTAAGAATAATAAGGGAGGAAAGTACACAATTTTACCACCAAAGCTATTAACATTCCCTGTTTTATGTTATTGATAGTAAGGAAAGCACAAAATATTTTATTTACAGTGTAGCAGATAAATATAAAACTACAATGCTGTATATGATCAGCTTTTCTCAATGGGTGGATTTACAGGTCACTAAAATATACCAACAGGTCACTAAAATATACCAACATCACTTTAAATTGTTGTACACTGTCCTACTGAATGTAGTGTAATGCATTCAGCTAGCCCTTATTGTCACCTAACAGGTTATTTGACCTTGCACCCACTGCTGCCCCCCCAACTTTTTTGTTTTCCTACTAAACAAAATAAATCTGAATCATAGTCTGTGTTTTCTAGTTTTGTTTGTTTCTTATACATTCTTAGAATGGAGTCGCTGATTCAAAATTAATGTATTTTTTAGTAAATTGATGTGCATTTATGCAAAGTGCCTTTCTAGTTTCTTCTCATCTTTCTCATCCCTAAATGTAGAGTTTAGTTTCTTAGCATTGGACCTATTCTCTTTCTTTATTCGCTCTGTAGGTATTCTCATCCCATCCCTTGGCTTTAACTTTGCTAATACCTCTCATGTATTTTTAGCTCTGATTTCTTTGCTGAATTCCAGTTCATGTATCTATCCACATAACATCATCACATGAAGTCTAATGAAACTCTCATACTTAATGTGTGTAACTATATCATATCAAAATTTTAAAATGAAAAAGAGAGTAGTATAATTAACCTACATGTGCACATTGCTCAGTGTGAACAATTGTCAATGATCAGTCTTTTTCATATTTATAGACCTGGATTGTTTTTTAACATTTAGATTACCTAATTTAATTTACAAGTGTTATGGATTTCTCTGGATTTCTCAAATACACTTACACTCCTTCCTAGCATTCCCCTCCTCACTAAATGGTGTATCTATTCACCCTGCTGCTCAAGATGAAAAACTTGGAGCAATCATTGGCTCCATCTGTTCTCATATTTCCAATACACAGCAAGTCTTACTGGCTAGAGTTTCCAAATAATCCAGAATATGACCTCTCACTACTCTTCCCAGTAACCATATTCTGCCCCTATTTTTCACTAGACTACAATCACCTTCTCACTGGCTTTTCTTTTTGCACTTTTATCATTGCTTTCCAGAACAACATTTTTACTTTTAAAGATGCAGTCAATTCATTTTTCTTCCACTGGTCAGAATTACTGAATTCCCATCACTCATAACTTCCAAAGTCTTAGAAATAAATGGCCAGTTGGACTTGGCCCCAATTACCTGTCTTTTGTTAGCTCTCTGATTTGATTTCCTACCAGGTACCCCCTGGCTCACCACACTGTAGTCTCACTGGTCTGTGTGCTATTGATTACAACTTCCTTCAGGTCTATAGTTTCCTCCACTCACATCCCCAATACTCACTATTCCTTCACTTTGCTTTACCTTTATTTCTTACCACTAGAATACAAATTCCATGAATAAAGGCACTTGATATAGTTTGTTCACTGTTGTAATCAGTCATTCAATAAATATTCATGCAATGTATCCTCTGAATCAGATGGGAAAGCCTACTTTGCTCTTCTTCAAAGCCATGGGTTCCTGCCAAAAAGCAGGATGAGATATTTACTGTTCAGGAACACCTTTTTCTGCATCCCTGATGGTTAGCACCGTTCTGAAAGAGTTCCTATCTTTAGGCTGATGGCATCTTCTTTGAAAATCAGGTAGCTACCCTAGCTACTTCACAGTCATGCACTTTGTTTGACATTGAAGTGAAAAGGGCTGATTTGGAAACTTGGAATTCTCACTCGGGAAAATAGGTTGAATACAGCTTTAAAACATCTAATATGGAATTCCCTGAGCACTAGAGCTATTCTATAAACCATTACCATTCAGTTTCAGCCAACATACATTTGTACTCTCTTTGATAGTCATATAAGTTTTAAAAAAAATGAGTATGACAGCCTTTGCTTTCAAGGAACTCACAGAATACCAAAAGATAGGTAATTGGAATACAAAAGATAAGTGCTTTCCTAGATAAAGGAATGATGGATTCCCTGAAAAGCCATATGCTGTAATGAAAAGAATACAAGCTTTAGGATCTAGTTATCCTGGGCTCTGTTCCAGTTTTTGCACCAATTGTCTGTGTTATCTGAGCAAATCACAGCCTCTTTGGACCTTAGTTTCTAAACTTTCAAATGGAAACTGTATCTATCTCACCCAGAATATTTGAGGACAGAATTATAGCACCCAGCATACAGAAAGGACCCTTCAGCTTTTATCTGCTGCTCTTACCTGGACCTCTCCAGAGGAGGTTAATTATACCAATGGGGGTTAATAAGTGAGTGGATTCTGGAACCATAAGTAGAATTCATCAGGCATAGTGGTATGGAGGGTGTTTCCTGACAGAGGGAAGGTAATACAGGCGTGGGGAGTACAAAAATTCAGGGGAGAGTATGTGTAAAATATTCAAATTTAGGTGGGAGGGAAAGATATAGGTAAATTTGGATAGATTTTTGAAAGATTCTAAATGCCATGCTGCAGAATATGAAAAATACATTGAAGAATTTTAAGCAAGGTATTTCAGGTTCCTGTCTAAGGCTTATTTCTTGATTCCCCCCATTTTAGTTCAAGCTCATGTAGCAAAAATACCGTCAACTGAAGGGCTTAAACAGCAAACATCTATTTCTCACAGTTCTGGAGGCTGGAGGCTGGAAGTCCAAGATCAAGGTCCCAGCATGGTTGGTTGAGGGGTGTCTTCTGTAGACTTCTTATTGTATCATACCTGGCGGAAGGCACTAATCTCAAACATGAAGGCTCCCCTCACGACTTAAACACCTTCCAAAGCTCCTACCTCCAAATACCATCACTGTTAGGGGTTAGGATTTCAACATACAGATTTGGAGGACACACAAACATTCAATCATTTTGTAGAATAAGAAAGTTTTATTTAGATGTAAATTTGTCTTTCTATCTGGGGACCTGAAGCTCCATATTCTTGAGCTTCTATAACTGGCTGCACACTCTTCCTATATATTGTTGTAAAGAGCAAATATATTTTAAAAGACATGATAGAGTACCTGGGCCATAATAGTCTCTAAACAAAAGCAATTGCCCATTTCTCTTCATCTCTGCTTTTTCTCTGGTAGAAATGTGCCAGAGACAATCCAAATTGGTCCTTGGTCAAAACTGATTTTTTCAAAAAAAAAAAAAAAAAAAAAAAACAACTGATTTTTTTTTCCCTGATCTATAGTAATGACATTAAATAGTCATTTTACTGTTATTCAGGGTACCATGTCATGTGTGATCTCAAGTAAATGATGTGTGTTCCCCAAATGTAGCACTTATCCTCACTGGATCTCGGTATTGGCATTTGTTGAGTGTTGTAAAGGACAACATGGCCTTAGGTCCCTCACAGCTCTAAAATTATTATGCATTTGTAACCTTTCATTTAGGGTTATCATGTACTAGTTGAATTAATTAAAAGCCATTTTATATCTTTGGGAAGTTGTAGTGACAGTAGGATAATAACCTGATCTATGTAAAATCAATAAATAGTTTTCATTCTTTTTTTAAAAAAGATTTTATTTATTTATTCATGAGAGAGAGAGAGAGGCAGAGAAACAGACAGAGCCCGACGTGGGACTCGATCCCAGGTCTCCAGGATCCCACCCTGGGCCAAAGGCAGGCACCAAACCCCTGCACCACCCAGGGATCCCCAATAAATGGTTTTCAATACATACTAAGTCTTAAGCATTATAGCAAATGTGAGAATTAAAAAGTAACAAAAATAAACAGCATGAAACATGAAATATGTTTTAGAATATTATATATAACTTTAAATGTTCTTAAAATTTAACTGGAAGATTTTTAGATTAAATTAATGATCCTAAATGTGTTAGGGGTATCTCTTTATTTGGAACCTATTGTTTAAATAATTAATGAAAAATAGCCAAATATGTATTCTATTAAGGAGGTATTAATTCTTAATATTACTCTTTTATACATTTAGAATTATATATATTAAAAGATCACATTTACTAGACCTCAATAATGTTAACTAAAAACTATTTTTAAAAAAGATTTTATTTGAGAGAGAGTGGTAGGGGTGGGGAGAGGGAGAGGGAGAAGCTCTGAGCAGGGAGCCTGATGATCATGACCTGAGCTGAAGGCAGACACTTAACCAACTGAGCCACTCAGCCGCCTCACTAAAGACTATTTTTACATATCTATAAAAGATACATGCTTTCTTGTATTTCTTTAGACTATTACCTGAATGCCAACAATATTAAAATTTTTGAATTGGGCAAAAGGATATAAAAACATGTATGAATGTCATGTAAGGACAGATGGCTTGCATCCTGGAGGCTTTTATTTCTTATGATATTCTTTAGAATTCACTAATAACTACAATACCATTAAAAGTCATGCAAAGAAACTTCTTTAGAAATTTGTGAAATATCTGTCAGACGATGGACTGCGGTGGGCATAGTGTAAGGTCATCCCCATGATCCCTGCATAATGGTGCTCACATTCTTGTACAATCCTCTCCACTTGATCATAGATATGACCTGTCACTGACTTCTTATCAGTAGACTATGACAATGATAGACGGCACTGCATGATTACGTTATGTTGTATAAATCTGTCTTACTAGCTGACTCTCCCCCTAGCCTCTGTTTCCCTTCTTCCCTCCCTCTTCCGCTTCCCTCTCTCCCTCCTT